TGCTTCAGAAAGTGGCAAGAATGATGGGATGCGTGGTTAAAGTAAGTGAAAGTATTCCAAGTAGGATTAATGGTAATATGTCTTTTACTGTAATAATTTTTTTAATTTAAACATTTTTTAAAAATTTAAACATTTGCCATATATTTCAACCACCCCTTATATAGACCTTTTTAGACAATTTTATTTAATTAATACAAGATCTAACTAGATGTTTCTATTGCTTCTCAACTCAGAGGAATTGAGGAGCCCTTGGGGAAAGAATTCTAATGGTAGATCCCTTTTCCAAGGGATCCAAGAGGACATAGGTAAGTACATTTCACAAAGCATTATTTACCCTTGCTAGGAGAAATTCATCCTGGCATTATTTTCTATTCTGCTTCATTTCATTAAAAGGGGGGGGGGGTTAAGAAATGTATTTCCCAACCCACAGATGGGATCAGGACCAGCTTCAGATGAGAAGAAAAATTACCTATCAACTGCAGGGCCTCAGAGCTTTCCCGCAAGTCTTCCCAGTGCCATCTACTGTGCGCTCTGGGTATTACAAGCGCCTGCTCCCCGCGGGTCCCCTCCTCCAGACATTTTGGGTTTTGTTTTCTGAGATTAAATCAGAAAACACTTCATCCGAATTGGAAGTGTCTGTCCAACAGTTTAAGAACAAGTTTCCATGAACAGCTAACACAGAAGGTCGATTCTGAATTCTGAGACCAAACACTTTACATCCTGTCTTACAAAAGGGGTTTTGCAAGTTACAGAACTTCCACCCCTCATTGAGACCTCAGGAGCAAAACTGACCATGTAATCATGGGCCTCCAGAAAACAAAAATTTTAAATTTGGTACATTCTACACTAGCATTTCACACAAAGCTGCTGTAGTCTATCAGATGTAATATAACAAGGGACTCGATAGTCCTTTGTCAGATGATATGACTATATTTTTTTATAGCAGCCTTTGATCTTTTTCCCTAACTTGTTCCAAAAACTTGAGATAATATACAATATAACATTGTTGTAATACAGATTAGAATGTAGGAATCTCTTTTGCTTCTTTGTGAATGATGCAGGATTTCAACGTTAACAAGCTTATAGAATTTAGTTTTTGTGCTCAATATAGGTAAACTCTTCCTACAAGCCAACCTGGATTCATTTCTGATTTGTGCTTTTGATGCAAATATATTTAGAAGTATCTTTGTAATTTCTCCACAGTCTGCTTAATCATAAAAAAGCTACACTTAACGTATTTGCAAGTAAAAGCTTGCACTCATCCAACAAAGCCAAGGAGGATGACTTAATTTACCACTGCCTTAAAACTGAGACACTTGCAACAATTTTAATTTCTCCAGAATATTTCATCTGGGAAAATAAGAATAGGATGAGAAACATGAAGAAATAGTTGTTTATCACAACTTAAAAGTTGGAGTTTTATATGCAGTGTCTTTAATTTGGAAATGAAGGACAAATTTATGAAGTCTGAAATTTTTTTACCCTTTAAATAAAACAATTCACTGTTTTCCCTCGAAGTGATTTGACATTAACAACTTTCAAAAATACAGTGCAGGTGTAATTCAGTGATGCAAAGAGAAATTGTTCACTTTAATAATCACCCACAAAAATTAAAAAGGATCACACTGGAGTCACCCTTGCACTGGCCATATGCAGGTTCTTATTAATTACCTAGGGTTGCCAGAGGCTCTTCAGTTTCCAACTGCTATTTTGGGAAGGGCTGATTTTTTTGCCAGTTATTTTAATTAATATGATTACTATTTCAACAGCAGAGTCAAAAAAGAGGGTGTGGCCCAATAGCTAATGGCTCTTGAAGAGCCAATTCAATGGCTTCACCTTGCCCTAAAACTGCCAAGGGGTAGGACAGGGGCTCCACGCTGTCACAAGTCATCTTAAAACATTTTCTGCCACACATACATATGATTTGTGAGTCAGAAATGTAACTGAGACATTTTTAATGTGTATTCAGAGCATCCTTCCCAAGAGGAATTCAAGAAGCTGTCCCAGTAGGCAACTTGTAAGCCATCATTCATCAAAATGTTACGAACTATGATTTATCTTGCCCTGATAACTTGCACGATAGCCAGTTGTTTCTTTTTTGGTTTATTTATAAAGCAACCATCAAATTGAAATATCAAATAGCTTTAAATATTAGCATTTTCATGTTATAATCTTATAAGTGCATAATTTGCAATATTTGCATAAAAGTTCAGCTCAGTTACAGTCACCTCAAATTACCTGCTGGGTATTAAACATATGTAAAAGCAGCACTCAGGTGCGTCTCTGACACTTTGATATGTCAAAGTGTGACCAACACAGATACTCATCAGTTCATCATCTATAGTTATTCCTTAAGTCTCTGCTCTTCCTTGGCCTATACTATTAGCTTCATTCATGATCAACCTGGGAAAAGCCAAAGTGCTTTGCTTAAAACCAAATCAAAAACTGTCTCTATCTGATTAATCCCTACAGATTAATAGATAAAAGTGAGCCAGGCAGCAGCCAGTGTGCCCTGAGTAGCCACTGCTTTCTCACTATGGTGTGGGGAAGGTAGATTGGGTTTGGGCTTCTCTAGGCCCAGGGTGTTAAAAGACAAAAACATGTGAAAATAGAGCGAGAAAAGTAAGGTTTATTCCTAATGGTTACATTTACCAAAGGAATGTTTTTAACAAAAAATGTGGCAGTATGAATTCACTATTTACAAAATTATTATGAAATGTATTTCAAAAGAAACATTAATTTGCAGTGTTATCTGCTAACTGGGTATAAGCTCATTTGGAAGAAATTTCAAATATCCAAATCTTATCTTGCCTCACCTCTCTTTCTTCCCCCCCCCTTATGCTGGAATTTCTATATATCTATATCTATATCTGTATCTCTTCCTGCCCTAGTCTAGATGGGAGAAACACAGCAACACAGAGAAAGATAACAGAAATCACACAAAGCAGAATAAAATGAACTGCTGAATTTAAGACTTCCGAGCTGTGTAGTCCTAACTATAAATCCTAAAATTACCAAGTGGCTGTGACAATTAGCCAACAACATGCAATCATTATGCAAATCCCCAAAAACCAAGTCAGGGAACACGAGGAAAAAAAAGTTGAACTTAACGATTGTAACACGGGCACTAAAACCCTAAGATGAAAATCCTCAGTAGGGAAAACTGAGTCAATACTAAATCTCCAAACCATCTCCATCAGCCAGCTTCCTCCAGTGGCTTGAGAGCCTTCCCTCATTCTAACTCGACTGGAAGTCCAACAGACTGCTCACCACCACTGTCCTCCCCGAGCAACTGAGCTGGCAGAGCCCTCCCAGAGCAGGTATGCTGGGCCAGGGAAGCCGCCTCACCGCGCCAAGACTCGGCTTTGCGCGTGTTTCCTCCAGAGCTGATTCAGCACGTCTCTCCCAGGGCCTCCTCTCTCGGGGAGCAGACACTCCCTCTCGGGCTGAGCCTCGGAGCTTCAAGGAGGGCAGTAGCCCGGCATACAGCTCAGTCAGCCCTGGCAAGAACCGACTAGGTGTCCCATGGCAAGGAAAAGTCCTGCCCTCACGCTAATGATGGTAAATAATGGGAAACGCATTTCTGAGGCCAGATCTGCCGTCTCAGGGTGAATCATCATCTTCCCTTAAAACTGACCTAACAAAACCTTGCGTGAGCGCACAGCCCCTCTGCAGGGGCACGAGGCTGGCCTTGCTACCCCCAAGCAGGGCCTGCTCTTCACATTTTCATTTCACATCCGATTGCTCTGTGAATGTCCACTTCCTGCCACTTGCATTTCAAGACATCAGAATACCCACCCAAATGTGAACCCTGAAACCTCAGGCAGTCTTTCGGGGGAAGCTCTCTGTCCCGGATAACCTGGGTAATTCCCACCCCCAACCTGGTGTGACTCCCCGAGTGTAGACCAAGGAGGCCAGGGCAGGTTACCCAAGACTTGTGGCCACCGCAGCCCAGGCTTAGCCCTTGCCACACTGTTCGAGGCGATCGAATTCAACAGGGAATTCGAGGGATGGAAGCGGAGACTTGGCCAGCGCTGGTGGAGCCAGCTGCCCCCAGATTGCAGAGGCCCTGCGCCAGGCCCCCCAGAACCTCCGGGCTTGGACTCAAATCTTCCCGTCCTTGGAACGCCTGCTTTCCTCCTAACAAAATGATAATAAAGCAGGGCTTTGGACGCAATAGTCCTCTGCACTAGTCGCGGGACCGAACACCACCACCAACGAGCCCTACCCGCTCCCCCGAGCAGGGGGCCGGCCTGGGGCTCTGTATTCCTGGGTCGACCTCCCAGGCCTCGGCGGGAGGGGAGGCCCCGGGCAGTGGGCAGCCCGGGACTTTCCGGGAGCTCGGAGGCTCGAAGAGGCTTCGGGGGCCAAGCGGGGCCGGGCCGGGGAGGTCTGCGCGCCCCGCCCGCCGCTCCGGGGCGGTGGAGCAGCCGGGAGCCGCCCCCTCGCTCAACTTTCCCCATCTCGGCGGGGAGGAGCCGGAGCGGGCGGTTAAAAGGCGCCACCGCCGGAGACAGGTGTCGCAGAGCCGCGCCCGGCGCGCTCCTCCCCGCGCTCGCGCTCTCTCCAGTCGGCGGCCCCGGCCTGCGGCGAGCGCCCCGCGGCCCCAGCGGCCTCAGCGGCGGAGCCCGACTCCTCCCAGGTGAGGCTGCGCCCCGCGAGCCCCGCGCTGGACAGGCGCCCCTGGGTCCGGGTCCGAGCCGGGCGGGCAGCCGCGCCGCCGCCCCGGGGTGGAGAACCGGTGCCGGGCGGCGGGGTGAGGGGGACGGAGCGGCCCGGCCGGGCTTGGGAAGGCGCTGGGCAGGGGGCGCGCTGCACCCCTGGGCTGGGCGTGGGGCCGCGTCCCCCTGTTCCTTCGGGGGCGTTTTCTCCCAGCGGCCTGGCGGCTTTCCCTGCCGCCACCAAAAGTTTTAGATTAACCGAAAGTTTAGCAGGAAGCCTCCTGGGATGAAACTGACCTTTACCTCCTCGCGCTGCCTTTCCAAGGAAGGCGATGGGGTAAAGTCGGGGCGAGCACAGCTCCCGGGGCGCGGGGAGACCCGACTCCAATCTGGGCCGAGACTTTGGCTGCTTTGCTTTTTCAGCACCTAGGCACCTCCGGGCGCGGAGCTCTAGGAGGGAGGAAAGCACGCGGGACCCCTCTTGACAGATGAGGGGTGTCGGTGGAGAAGAGCCCTGCAGAACTGCGGCGGCGCCCCTCCTTCCCCCTCCGTCCCCCTCGCTGGAGGGGCTAAGCTTGAGGCTCGCACTTTCCAGCTTCTGAGAGCGGGGCTGGAGGACCATTTCCCTGGGACTGCCTTGAGATGTTCGTCTTCATTTGCCCTTTGAGTCCATTTTGAAACTCAGGTGCTCAGTGCCTGGCCCTCACGGGGATGTGAGAGAAGGGTGGGCACTTGGTGGGGCCCACCACAAGGTAAGGGTGTGAAGGTAATGGCTAAAGAGCTCTCTTTTCCTTTCCTGGACTCACCCAGTGCCTTCCCAAAAGAATCGGTCAGCTGCTCCACTCATTCTGGCAGTGCTCCAGGGATTTCGAGTGACCTGGGCCGGGTGGGAACCAGTGGATGACAGCCCAGGATCAGGAGGCCAGGCAAGCCACTCCTCACTGATTTAAATATTGAGGACAATTGCACCCTGCCCTTGGTCCATCCGAGCTTCTTACTCCTACCTTGCTGAGGGATCGAGTTTTAATTTACTCCTCTTCCCTAAAAGATCTTTGAAACACTTAGTTAGTTGCAAATAGGGTGTGATGGTGACCCACTGGCTGAGGAGGTGAAGGTGGAAGGTTTGTCTGAGCCCAGGAGTTCAAGCCTGGGCAACATAGTGAGAGCCAAAAGACAGAGACCTGTACCTCAGGCTTTCAAAAACAGCAATATAGGGGGCTTCTTGGACTACATTTTTCAAAACTGTTGGTGGCTGGACTGGTCTGTGAACAGTGCAGGACCTGTGTTGGATGCCATAGAGGAGACACTCCACCTCCACTCCCATCTGTTAGGCCAGGTGTGTGACTGTTTCTTTCTGCGAGTGTCCTGTTTCTCATTTAAGAAGTGCCCAAGAAGAACTGAAGGTCTAATTCTGTGAGATGATTTTGTTAAAAGCTGAACACTTGCCTTCTTCAGTGGGTCTGCTGTCTTGGGCAGCACTAGATTGAACAGCGAGACTTTTCACTGGACATCTAAGGGCCTCGTGGACAGTCTGGAGTAAATGGGTCAAGGTTGAACCTGGGCTAAGACACCCTTGTTGTTTCCAGTGGTGTTTTTTATTTTTCAAGCTATTGAATAGGGATAAATGTTTCACCAGTACATTTCAGTCCAACTTAACTTTTGTGCGCATGGCTCTCCAACTTCCTCAGACCAAGGCCGCCTTTGCACGGCTTCAGCAACTGTGGTAATGAGAGGCATTCATTCTGAGCCTACCTCAGCTCAGTAGGAAACAGGATGCGACTTGCCTAAAATCAGGAGAGCAGGATGCTTTTCAGTAAGAGAAGGAGGGTTCATTACAACTTAGAAGGAATGGATAATACGTGACTCATCAGGACCATGGGGAACATGGAATCCTGTTTAGAAGAGGGGCTGATTATGACAGACAGGGTATAGCTGTGAATCAGTGGGGACAGTTCCTGTCCTGGATGAAACTCAGGGCCACTGGCCGGTGGAGGATCTTTCATGGGCTCCTGCACAAACACTCTCAAAGAGGAGTGTGTCACCCAGCCAATGTTGGTTTGCGCCACAGCTTGGCTGGCCACTGACTCACTGAGAAGTTGGGAATACCCATGGGCTATGATACAGGATCCACTGGGTCGTCAGAACTCGTGTGCTTTTAAGCTAACAAGTACTGCACTCCAGTAGACCTTTACACCCCAGCTTTACTGAGGTGAGAACCCACAGAACCTAGAGAACACACAGAAACCTATTCAAGATGGTTTGGGAGCTATACATTTAATCCTATGCCAAACTAAGTTGTTTTTTTAATGCTCAAACTAAGGCCTTTTATTAGTTGATTGTACAACTTAAACAACATCTTGGTTACCAATGGAACAGCTTCCACTAATTCCAAATTTTGCTTTCAAAAGTTGACTTGTTGGAAGGACATTTTTATACTCAATATAAAATACCCTTATTATAACTTTTAGCAAATCCTCTCATGGCATTAACTTTAAAACATTCTCAGGTCAGGGCTGGGAATTTAGCTCAGTGGTTTCGCCGCCTGCCTCAAAAGCACAAGGTCCCGAGTTCGATCTCTGGTACCAAAAAAAAAAACCATTCTCAGGTCAAATATGAACTACCTCAGAAGCCCAATTTAGTTATTTTCTTTAAAGTATGTATGGTACAATTGAATGAAAAGAAAACACTGCAAATATTTTTGGTTTGGCTGGAAATAAAGTCTATTTCATGATGATGTGAATATCTTCTAATGCTATTTCTGATACTTTCCATAAACTTCAGCAAAGTAAATAAATCCACTTACTACCATTTTCAGTTTTGTGGGAGATTTTGTAAGGGACAGTCTTGGCTCAGGAAGAGATGTAAGAGTACTTTCTTACCCAGACTCAGAGAAATCACCTGGGTTCTGTCCAAACTAATGACTGCTATGTTGTGTTCACTTGTCTTTTCCAGTACTAACCACCCAGCCGACAGGATGGATTGGGGCGCACTACATACTATCCTGGGGGGTGTCAACAAATACTCCACCAGTATTGGAAAAATCTGGCTCACAGTCCTTTTCATTTTTCGCATCATGATCCTCGTGGTAGCCGCCAAGGAGGTGTGGGGAGATGAGCAAGCTGATTTTATCTGCAACACCCTCCAGCCTGGCTGCAAAAATGTTTGCTATGACCACTACTTCCCCATCTCTCACATCCGTCTGTGGGCCCTGCAGCTGATCTTTGTGTCCACGCCAGCACTCCTGGTGGCCATGCATGTCGCCTACCGGAGACACGAGAAGAAAAGGAAGTTCATCAAGGGAGAGATGAAGAGTGAATTTAAGGACATTGAAGAGATCAAAAGTGAGAAGGTCCGTATAGAAGGGTCCCTGTGGTGGACCTACACCAGCAGTGTCTTCTTCCGGGTCATCTTTGAAGGTGCCTTCATGTACGTCTTTTACATCATGTACAACGGCTTCTTCATGCAGCGCCTGGTGAAATGTAATGCTTGGCCTTGTCCCAATACGGTGGACTGCTTTATTTCCAGGCCCACAGAAAAGACTGTCTTTACTGTGTTCATGATTACGGTGTCCGGCATTTGCATCCTGCTAAACGTCACAGAATTGTGTTATTTGTTCATTAGATATTGTTCCAGAAAGTCCAAAAAACCAGTTTAGCATTGCCCAGCTGTAGATAAAAGATGGCATAAAAGGATGAAGCAACCTGTGCTTAGCTGTCAAGGCTCAGTCACCGGCGTTTGTCAAGGCAAAGATTCCCGTCTTAAATGAATCCCCTTGGGCCACCCATGAAACTCCAGTACCTGCAATGGGGTTCCATGCTCCCAGAGCCCCCCAGAGAAGGGCTAAGCCTGTGACTGTCTTAATCTTTACTAGAGTCAGTCCCAGTGAGGCCCTGTGCTGGTGAGGGTTACTGGTGTAAGACACTTTCATATTCTCTTTCTCTGAGGACAGGAGATAAAGGCCAGGTCCTCTGGGGAATATTGAGAAAGCCCAAATGCCTCCTTAGGGCTCCCTCTGCAGGTTCCCCCCAGTTAAAGGCAAACACAGAGAACCATGGTTCTTTTCTTTGCTTTAGAAGTCATAATCTGTAACAATGGACAAAATTCCCTAATGCTTCAATCGCTGCTATACTTTTTTTTCAGTGAAAACATTAAGACAGGTTCTTTTGATCTGAAGATGTTCTGAAAACCATTGTGCACTCCTCCTATTTCAGAGTCTCAGATGGTGATGCGTAAATGGTATGAGATTAGATCGTCTAATTTAAAACATTGTCTTTTGGTTATGAGTGATTTGCAGTGTGGCTGTGTTAATAACCATTATGTATTGCACCAACATCACAGCCTCTCTTGAATGAGACAAAATAGAAGTTTCTCGTGACAGCTTAGGAGAGCAAATGCCCTGATTTCAAAACAGTAAGTGTAGTTTTACAACAGAAATAACAGACTGGATTTACCACCAACTGCACCCTGCAATGAGGTGACTCCACACCACCATCCGGTTCCTTTCCAGTGTTTGCCCTCTCCATTTGCTATGGTACATGGTACCCAGCATCAGAAGGAATACAACTAAAAGAGGTTGTTGGGAATTTACTGCCATAGTACAGTTTAATTGTGCAGAACAAAATGGAATGGAGGTGGGAGGATTTACTATTTTCAAAGAAGGTGGAAAGATCACACTCTAAATTTTGTTGATTAAACATGAGTTTTTTCTACTTTGAAAGTTTGTTTTGCTCTTCAGCATCCAGTTTTATCAAAAGTGAAAATATAACTAATGGACATCTGAAAAAAGTAGAAATATGGTTTAGGGCAATATGTAGCAGCTCTATAGGACAAGTTGAACTCTAATATTACTATTATTCTTGACGTATTTTCCAAAAAGCGGTGCTCAACATACTTAAGTGAGGCAGAGCATTTTCTGTTGCCGAGAATAGCACTGTGAAACCATTTGTATAAATAATACCATTATTACATGCTTGCAACTAAAATAATTTTTGCAGTCTCAAGTATCATTTAAAATACTAAAATATATTTAATTTATATAATTCTTTAAAATCTAATAACTTAATAGAACATCAAATTTTAATTTCATCTATGGATATTTTTATATGTACATTCATATTTTATATCTCTTCATACCCACAGGTATATTAACAGGTTGCCTGCCCACCATTTTGGTATTCTTCTATCTCAGTTACAGAAAAGCTTCTGTGACCAGAAAAATTGGTAGAAAATGGAGGGGAAAGACTATTTATGCCCAACCCTATGCCATCACTAACAAGTTTTGACAAACACCATTCTAAGAACTACATGGTGTGCAGGTTGGAAATGTGTCTTAGGGAATGCTAAACTGAGATTATTCTATGATCAGTTTGGCTCCTGGTGAAAGGCAGAAACTGACATTTTAGAATGCTCTTCATATTTAAAAATAAAAATACTAAAATTTCACGGCGAATACTGGGAGAGGCTTTAGAAAAATACTTTTAAAATGTCCTTTCTGTGGGATTTTCTAATAGTCCATAACCAGAGCTGGTTTTCTGAAACTGCTCTGTACTCTTGGTGCCCACTTCCATGGGGAATAAACTGGCCAGCTTAGCCTGTCCCTGTGTGAGGGCTGCATGCCTATGTCCCTTCAAGATACGGGCTCTGACCAAACATGTCAAAGCCTTTTACACACCAATAATTATGAGTACTTTTAGGGAGTACCGTGTACTTTTTAAATGAATTTAAAAGAATAAAACAAAAAAGCCTGTTTTCGCCCACATAATAGAAAAGAAGTAAATTGTCTCTACCTACTTTCCAAGGTGCCCTGCACATACACGGCCTGTTAAAACAGCTCACAAATTTTTAAGTAGCTGGGTTCACTCCTACAAACTACAAAGATTACTATTCTTAAGGTATTAAAAGACGAGGCCAAAATAATTCTAGAGGGGCCGGGGATTTAGCTCAGTGGCACCGCGCCTGCCTTGCAAGTACAAGGTCCTGAGTTCAATCCTCCATACCAAAAATAAATAATAATAATAATTATAGACCACTACCAACTACTTTATAAAACTGGTGGAAAGTTCTAGCCACTTGCCTGAAAACTAAAGCTTGAACCCTGAAAAATGCTAACCCTGAATCTCGAATCACTGATTTGTAATTTGTAAGAGCAGAGAAAAAGCCTGTTCAGAAAGCCTCTGGTCAGCTAAGCGCTTGAAATGGGTGAGCTTTATAGTTTAGGAGGAGTGGACACAGCCCTGCTGCCAGGGCTACCTATACGACATTCATCAGCAAACTGGGAAACACACATCAAACAACTCTTCATCATTGTGCTCCTGTGAAAAGCCGGGCATGTAAGTGGTCAGGAACAAGGGGACAGGGTCCACTCAGAGGGCCAATGACATCCAGGGCCTGAGCAGGTCCTGTCACTGTCCCTGACCAAGGTATCCCCAGGGAGCAGCCAGCAAGAGCTGAGAAGGTCAAGGTGAGTGGACGGGAGCTCACTCACTTACCCACCCTCAGTTTCCTCTTGTTAAAATGGGCTTCCTGAATACTTCCCAAGCTGAGCAGAAATCTAATTAGTTCATTTATGGAAAAGCTGCAGGAGAACACTAAGATATTGTTGTCATCTGTTTTCCACTTCACACAGAGGTTCGAAGCTGGAAAGGTGATGAATGATATTTCAGATAGGAATGACTCTGGCAAAGCTTGATGAGCTTGAAGCTTGAAAAAAAATGCACATTTACACGAAGTCTGAAATCAACATGACACCGGGAGGAAGGATGGGCCACATCAGTCAGGGGGAGAATGACTGATGACAGAGACAGCAGCAGAGGTGGGTGTGGTGGCAAACACCTGTAATCCTAGCACTTTGTGAGGCTGAAGCAAGAGGATCATAAATTCAAGCTGAGCCTGGGCAATTTAGTGATTTAGTGAAAACCTGTCTCAACATTTAAAAAGAAGAAAAAAAGTGCTGGGGCTGTGGATCAGTGAAAAGACTCTGGATTCAATTTTCACTACTGTCTTAGTTATTTTTCTTGTTGCTGAGACAAAATACCTGACACCCAAAGTCAAAGGAGGAAAGGTTTATTTGGCTCACAGTTTGTAGAGGTTTCAATCCGTAATTGACTGGCTCCAAGGCAGGGTGACATGGCAGAGGGGCATCACAGAAGACAAACAGTTCATGGTAGGCAGAAGGCAGCAAAAGCATACAAGCAGCAAGCAACAAATGACAAGCAACCACTGATGGCTTTCTTTCTGTCTCATATCTTATCTGGGCTACCCACTCTTAGAGCAGGTAGCATTTGCACCCTTAATCCTAGCATTACATCCTTGATCCCAACATCATACACCCTAGATCCAGCCACCTCCAAAAAGCCCACCTATGACTGCATGAGGCCTTGGGAAGACATCTAGATATAAGCCATAGCAAGTACCGATATACATAGATAGATGATAGGTGGATAGAGGACAGCTAGTTCAAGAAAATCAATATTGTAACAAAAAAGTTATCAGTGTGTCTGGCCAGTCTCTGCCATATACCATACTTGTCACCAAACATCTTTTACCTCCTTTAGCCCTCACACCAGCAGAAAGGAGTGGCCCATCTGGTTTCTCCCTATGGGATGGACTGGGAAGGCACAGCTCAGGGAGATCATGTACAAAGGCCAACACAAAGGAGGTGGACTGGACCTCTAGATTCCTCTAGCACATTTAACTTTGTGAGCTAGAAGTCCCGCGGGGACCCTGTCTTTTCCCATGTTGATAGGGCTCGCTGAGAGACTCTGTTATAGGCGTGCAAGTCTCTCCCTAATGATTCGTTCTTCAGGTGATAGTTATTGAGCATCACCAGAGTGCTAGGAACTACTAGACACCAGAGCTGGAGCTGTGCACAAAACAAAATCAGAGCCTTCATGCTTCAACAAACCCTGCAGATGCTATCTGCGGTGAGTGAGCAAGATAAAGGAAAGAAAGACCAGAGGAAGGGAAGCAGGAAGTAGGCTGGTGGGGAAAGTTGCTCTGCCAAGAGACCTGAAGGGATGGGATAGCAAGAGAGGAACAGGTGTCATGGGAGACGGCAGAGTCCAGCCTGACCAGGAGACACAAGACCTCAGAAGGGGTGGCTGGGTGTGGAGCTGAGGACTCGCAATTGTAAGATGTGCCCCGCCATGCCACTCCCCAGTGTCCGCTCTGCCCTGTCTGATGGATCCAACAGAGGGCTGCTTTCCATGTGAGCCCCTGGAACATCACCGAGGACAGGTCAAGTTCAGCCTGGACCTTACTCTCCAGCTATGCAGGCTCCATTGCCTGGCTGGTTGTTGATTCACTCACCCAACAGTAAGCAGCTGCCATGTGGGGCCTGGCAGGTACCAGCAGCCTTGAGCTTCCCTAAGAAAGACTAAGCTGCTCGGTGGGCTTGTTACAACAGAGCATTTTAACCACCCTGTCGTCTTTGCTCATTTTAAAGTGAAAAGGCAAACAATGTGATTTGTGTAGTTACAGGCTTAATATACAAATAAATTTTCATATCGAATTAAATAACAGAGAAGCATACAAAGCCACAAATGAAATTGTGCCATTTCACCCCGGCTGAGTTTCAGTGTCCACGTGGTGATGTGTGTCCTTCCAGCCTCCACTCCACTCCACTGTTTAGTTTATAATGGTGCAAAAGCCACAGACATCTATCTAGTGGAAACTGTACTTTGAATTCTGAATTTAGATCTTCCCCTACCTGGCACTCCATGGTCAGATCCTGTCTTGATGCTCAACTGCATAATCCACAGCAGCTCCTAGTCAGCCTTGCACTGGCTTTAGGTTTACTGGAAACATCCACTCCACAGTGTCTCTGTGCTGCAGCCAGGATGTTCAGAAGGTGGGGTGTATTCAGTACATTCTCAATTTACAATATTTTCAATTTACAATGAGGTTATAGGATGTAACCCCATCCTAAATTGAGGAGCATACATATACACACATATGCAGATACACACAAGCATACACAATGACTTTGGCTTGCATTCTTATGTCATTATTCTGTGATCATTTCCTATTTCATAATATGCCTTGAAAATCCTTCCGGGTCACTATGAATATGTATTTGTTCTTTTAAAATGTACAATGTCCCATAGAATGACAGAGTTACATTATTTAACCACCTCCTTGTTGAGGGACAGTTGCATTGTTGCCAACTTTTCACAAATGCTACCATCCCACCCTCTTTCCAAACAGCTTTTCCCTTTGCAACATATGCCAAATAGCTCTTTCTAACCTACATTCAGGGCTGTCCATTTCCCTGTTAAATGCCATCTTACTGGTTTTGGCTCATCCTTCTGGTTCATCCAGATCTTTTTGAACCCTGTCTTTGGTTTATTAGCAATTCCTTCTAACCTTATGACACCTGTTAGTCTAACGAGCATGCTTTCTCTGTGGTTACATAAGCCAATAAAAATATTGAATATGGAACATCACCAGCGATACTCGTCTAGCTCCGTATCAGTTCATTTACCCTCTGATTCAAGCTAGGAGTGTTAAGGATCAATGTAGTCATCCATGCCTAATTTGCAAATTTCCATCTTAGTAGTAAGATTACAGCAAACTCTGTCAGGTGTTTTGCAAAAATATATAAGCATCTGTACCATTTCATTAGCCATTTTTTAAACACACCTATTGAGATTTTCATATGTGCCCAGCATTATTCCGGGCCTTTACAACACACAGGTGTTTTTGAAAGAAAGACACAGT